ACGCTTTAGTCATAATTCTAGTATATATCCATAACTCTTACTACCCACCATGTATATACATCACACAAGAATATTGATGATCAATGTGTTATTAATTTTCAAATGACACCTCACAAGGCATATTCTGTACAAAGATTATTACAATAGTGTGTAGAGTGTGACTACAGAGGTGCTTCGGTGACACAACACCCTCTCCCAGAACTCCACCCGCAGGTATGAGCCTGCTGGGTCATCTCTTCAAGGGGCATGTGACTGCTGTAACACACAGACATTTTGCACAGGATTCTAACCCCATTGCTCTGTACTTAATCACATGAGAAATACACAGATCTAGACAAAAGGAACAAACCCTCTATGTATTTTCCTGTCTCCGTTTCCACGGCACTCCAGAGCATTCTTTGGGGGCAGAGTCCTCTGGGGCATCCAGGGACCTTCTGCTGCAGTGCACAGCTTGGGTTCTGAAACACACAGCCTGCTCCCCCAGCTCCTTCCTTCTCCTGTGAGTCCTTTTTTACAGGCTAGCATCACTACCTAGGTGTCCTTGTTCTTCTGCTGGGACCTTTCCACTCTGCAAACCCTCGGCTCCCAGTTGAAGGAAGTTAGAGAAAACTGGTTCCATCCCTAAGGTGCCACAAGTACTCCTTTTCTTTTTTCTGATGTAATTACTCTTTCTAGCATATCTACTGTCCAGTCAAAGCACAGTCATTAATCTCCCTTGTCCCTAGTTTAGGAGGTATGGGCTAGGTCCTGTCAGCCCATGGTGAATACACATTGTCAGCAGGCCAGTCCACAATACAGCATTATTCATAGCAACAATGTAACCATGTCACCCAGAATTAATAAACTGTACAGATTTCCCAGCTCATCACCATGATCCTTTCAGGGTTACATGGTGAATTGCTACCGGTCCTTTTAGCACCAGGGAGCCTTGTCTCTCCCGACCAGGGAAAATTTGCCCAAAACTACCAACTGCTGGCACCACAAGTGCCCCACTTCAGACTCTGCAAGCCCAGCTCTTCCCTCCTCAGGCTGGCAATTTGCACCCCCAGCCTTTTGGCTCCCTGAGCGAGTCCTTGGGGCAGAGCAGAGAGAATGTGTGGCTAAATCTCTGGCAAGAGTTACCCCAGAGTTTTGCTCTTTCCCCATGCACTGGTCCCTCTAACCTGTCTATACACCCCACTTCATCACACCCAGCCCCTTGACTTCTGGTCAGTCCATACAGACCTTGTCTAGTTGAGAGAGCTGGATCCACTTTTCACAAGACATCCCCGTTGGCAGAGGGTTGCCTCCATAAGAATCCCCTCTTGTGCCTTTCTTTCTCTTTCATACAGTTCCAGCCCTTTTGTCTCTTGTCATAACTAGGACGTTTCATTGACTTCAGCTCACCCCGATGCTCCCCACTGTCCAATGGCTGCTTGGGCTTTTCTGTGTTTTGCATCAGCCTGAGCCCGTGCCTTGTCTAGACTATAAATACTGGGTGGGGCTGGGGCGAAAGCTGTCAATTGTTTTCCCCCCTCATGAGCTCTGAGAACCACCCTGGGTGCCCTGCTTCCCCTCCAGCAGCTTTGTACACAAAATCCTGCATGTTACATAACTCTGACATCCCGAACGTCCATCCCGTCCATCCCGCAATAACCGTGGCACCCAGCAGAGACTGCTCATCATAGCCCCCTTCGGTGAAATACTGTGAAGATGGTGACAGGAGCACTGGAACGGGGTGGCCAGCAGGACATGGCTATGCCCTCCCGGTTCTTAAGGGCGAGCGACGGGAGGGAGGGGGCAGCGACGGGAGGGAGGGGGCAGAGAGGAGCAAGCAGGGAGTGGGGTCTCAGGGGGAAGAGGTGGCACGGGGGCAGGGCCTCAGGGAGAAGGGGGTGGCATGAAGGCGAGGCCACAAGGGGAATGGGTGGTGCAAGGGCAGGGGCTTGGTAGAAGGGGTGGGGCCTCGGGGGAAGGGGTGCCATGGGGGTGGGGCCACAGTTTGGGCACTTGTGCCCCCCACCCCAGCCTTCTAGGGACCTTCCATCATCCCTGGATGGCTATCACAGGGGAAATATGCCTGTCTGGGCATGTCTAGGCATGTGCCTGGGGATAGACTTGGAACTGTGTACCCATCTGCTGCCAACATAGGGCACCTGGGTCACACTCATCCCCAGCCACAGGGAACAATGGAGAATCCCCTCCTCCATCGTGAACAATGGGGAATCCTGCTTTGCCTACATAGAGAGCTGTAGGAGGTAAACTGCACCAAACTGCCCAGCAAATGGGGATTCTCCTGGAGATCTAGGGTGAGACTCCTGGGCTTTGGGCACTCTGGGCCTGGCTCTGAGTCCCTGTGCTGCAGCCAAGCTGGCCCGGAGACCCCTTACGCTGGCCTAGTGAGTGAGCGTGGAGCATCGGGGAGGAGCTAACACTCAGCCCCAGCTGGCCTCGTTCATGATGCCACTAAAGCAAGTTAGGGGCCGAATCTCTGCTCACCCACACATGTGTTAACCCAAAGGTAGTGCACTGAGCTCTGGGCTCCACCCCACAGATGTCAGTCATGTTGCCCAGTGCATGACTGGAAGGTGCTCAGATGCTCTGGTGACAAGCGCGGGATAAGAACTTTTAGAACAGGCTAGACTCCCTGCCTGGGCTCTCTCTTGTCATTCACCCTGGGCAGAGTGGGGTGAAATGCTACCAGGCCAGCATAGCTTTGTAAATGACAGCAGGAGGTGCCAGGCTGGGGAGACACGCCCAGGACTTGTGGGGTCTTCTCCTGCCTTTGCCTCAGTCTCCACAGCTGTCCAGGGGAATACAGCCCTGTGTCCCCTCCCCAGGAGGCTGTGTAGACTCATTAGCTCATGTCCATAGAGTGCACTGACAATGAAAAGTGCTATCCAATGGCCCAGCGCCCACTGAAGCCAGCACTGACCTAAGTGCATTTCCTGAATAAGCAGCAGATGCAGCCCAGTCTAAGCAGCAGATTCGGCCCACAGGCTGCCCTGGACCAGAGCTATATTCACCCAAAGAAATTAGAGTCCTGAGATGGCGCAGCCCCAGGTACCAAGAGAGGGAGAGCTGGATGCAGTCTGCACGGTTACAGAGCAGCTCAGCCACATAGGAACTTGTAGGATCTCATCAGCAGAGCTGAGCTGGATCAATCATAGAACCATAGAATATTAGGGTTGGAAGAGATCTCAGGAGGCCATCTAGTCCAACCCCCTGCTCAAAGCAGGACCAATCCCCAACTAAATCATCCCAGCCAGGGCTTTGTCAAGCCGGAGCTTAAAAACCTCTAAGGATGGAGATTCTACCACCGCCCTAGGTAACCCATTCCAGTGCTTCACCACCCTCCTAGTGAAATAATATCCAACCTAGACCTCCACCACTGCAACTTGAGACCATTGCTCCTTGTTCTGTCATCTGCCACCACTGAGAACAGTCTAGATCCATCCTCTTTGGAACCCCCCTTCACGTAATTGAAGGCTGCTATCAAATCCCCCCTCACCTTTCTCTTCTGCAGATTAAATAACCCCAGTTCCCTCAGCCTCTCCTCATAAGTCATGGGCCCCGCCGCCTAATCATTTTAATTGCCCTCCGCTGGACTCTCTCCAATTTGTCCATATCCCTTCTGTAGTGGGGGACCAAAACGGGGTGCAATACTCCAGGTGTGGCCTCACCAGTGCCAAATAGAGGGGAATAATCACTTCCCTCGATCTGCTGGCAATGCCCCTACTAATACAGCCCAATATGCCGTTGGCCTTCTTGGCAACAAGGGCACGCTGCTGACTCATATCCAGCTTCTCATTCACTGTAATCCCCAGGTCCTTTTCTGCAGAAATGCTGCTTAGCCAGTCGGTACCAGCCTGCAGCAGTGTATGGGATTCTTCCTTCCTAAGTCCAGAACTCTGCACTTGTCCTTGTCGAACCTCATCAGATTTCTTTTGGCCCAAACCTCCAATTTGTCTAGGTCACTCCAGACCCTATCCCTACTCTCCAGTGTATCTACCTCTCCCCCCAGTTTAGTGTCATCTGTGAACTTGCTGAGGGTGCAATTAATGCCATCATCCAGATCATTAATAAAGATGTTGGACAAAACCGGCTCCAGGACCGACCTCTGGGGCATTCTGCTTGATACCGGCTGCCAACTAGACATGGAGCCATTGATCACTACCCGTTGAGCCTGACAATCTAGCCAACTTTCTATCCACCTTATAGTCCATTCATCCAGCCCATACTTCTTTAACTTGATGGCAAAAACACTGTGGGAGACCACATCAAAAGCTTTGGTAAAGTCAAGATATATCACATTCACTGCTTTCCCCTTATCGACAGAGCCCGTTATCTCATCGTAGAAGGCAATCAGGTTGGTCAGGCAGGACTTGCCCTTGGTGAATCCATGCTGGCTGTTCCTGATCACTTTCCTCTCCTCCAAGTGCTTCAGAATGGATTCCTCGAGGCCCTGCTCCCTGATTTTGTTTTGCTATGGATGAGGATGAGATGGACACGTCTGGCGACGTGCTTGGCCGGCTATCTGAGGGCTACCCATTGCTGTGAGGCAGGCAGCGATGCTGCCATCGGGAGCGAGTTTAATAAAACTCCAGTTTTAAAAGGGTTCCCGGTCTGGGAGCGTAACGGGGAAGACAGCGGCAGCGGGCAGGGGACGCTGCAGAGCCCAGCGCGCGGGGCGCTCGCGGCAGCATGGGGCTGGCCGGGGGGGGGGGCGCCTGCCCAGCACACCAGAGGGGCGGGGCAGCATCGGGGGGAACGACGGGGCTCGCGCGGGTTTCCCGGCAATGACGAGTTACTGCAGGCCGCCGCCAGCGCTGGGCATTGAGGGGGCGGGGCGCGGCTGGGTCCCGGGGAGCTCAGCACGGATTGGTCACGGCTTCCGCAGCCCCGCCCCCTCCAGCGCTGCCATCAACAAACATGGCACCTCTGCCCAGCCCGTGCGCGCGGCCACTTCCGGTACCCTCCGGAAACATGGCACCTCTGCCCAGCCCGAGCCTTGTTGTGACACCACTTCCGGTCCTCCCCCCCCCAGCCCCAGTAAAGATGGCGGACGAGGCGACCCGGCGCGCGGTGGCGGAGCTGCCGCTGCTGAGGACGAACGCCGGGCCCCGAGACCGGGAGCTGTGGGTGCAGCGGCTGAAGGAGGAATACCAGGCGCTCATCAAGGTCAGGCTCTTCCGCTTCCGGGGAGGGTGTCACCGGCAAAGGGGCCGGGCGGAAACCTCTTCCTTTCAGCGCTCTGCCCCCGGGGTCTCTGGTTGGGGGAACGGGTCGCCCCTTCCTGTGGGGCCACCCGGTGTCCAGGCTAAGAGGCCTCACTGTGGGGAGCACGCGCCCCTTCGTGCTGACGTGGCCCTTCCCAGACGGTGGCCAGAGAGAGTTGCACTCAAATGTGCCCCCCCATCTCTCTACAGGGGACATGGGCTGCCTCTCCTCCTCCTCCCTTTGGGGCTGCCCCTCCCCCATCTTTGCAGAGGACCTGGGGCTGCCCCCTCCACCACATCTCTGTAGAGGACCTGTGGTTGCCCCCCATGTCTCTGGTTTATTAGCCAGGCCCCAGTGAGATTCCCTGTGCTCCATGGGGTGCAGACTCTGACCCACTCCTAAGGCATCTGGGGGCTGCAGTGGTCCCACAGTGCAGGGATCTGTGGGGGGAGCATAGCTGGCTCTCGGGGCCCAGAGTGAAGCACATCCCCTGGAGGGATATTGGGGTGCCACAGGGCACCTACCTTGCTCTAAACTCTCCAGTTAGTGTAGCTCAAAGGACAGGTCACCTGGAAACCAGCAACGTTTTCCCCCTGTGGTGCCTGGCCAGGCCTGTGTACTAAGGGCATCTCATGGGCAGTAACTGTACCCAGGAATCCTACAGTCTGCCCTATGTTCAGTACCTCAGGGCTTGATAGAGTCTGCTTTTGATGGCTCTGTGTGATGCTAGTGCCAGTCTCATGTTGCTGGCTGCAGGACTTTTACAGTTGGTGTTCACCACAGCAGCAACAGACCTTTCTGCCTCCCAAGGAACATGGCTACACAGTAAACATGTCCAGAGAGATCTCCATTATCTACATAGATTTTGGGAACAGGAATTTTGATTTCTGTGCAAGCTTCTAGGGGATTGGGAGGCTAGTCACAAACTGCATGGTATGGGGGTTTTGATTTCATGGGGTTGCCTGTACCCACTCACTGCCTTAGTCTTTCCCTTCCCAGTATGTGGAAAACAACAAGAACGCTGACAACGACTGGTTCAGGTTGGAGTCTAACAAGGAAGGGACGAGGTAGGCATGGATAGGTTGCAGGGCGTGTTTGTGGCTGCCATGGCTCCAGGCCCTCCCGTCTCTCTGATGGGCTTCCTCTGCTATAGCCCCTCTCTAGGCTTTGAGTAATTGTGAGCATACCAAGTCCCAGTCCTGTGGGAGCCCTTGTGTCTGCACTGGGAGTTGTTGTGGCCCTTCACTGAAAAAGGAGCAGGGGGCTGAGTCTCTGGCAAACAGGTCTTGCCTTCTGATAGTTGCTGGACTGGAGTTAGAGGCATGAAAAAGAAAAGGAATTCTGAACAGTTCTTTCTCACCCCAGTGTCACATTCTTCCTATCCTAATCCTGCTAGCACTCTGGTTGGCCAGAGACCCCTCTGGGGTTGAGGGGATCTGAATGTCTACTGTGCAAAGCATGCAGAGACCTGCCCCTCCCCCAGCTTTCCCTCCATCCACAAGGAGCAGGAAGGCCACAAGTCCCTTTTGCAGCTCCCCCAGGTTGTGCCCTAATCTATTATACTTTATTCCACCAAAAAATAATCTCAGTCCCCTTGGCCCCTGGAGGCCATTTATCATCCCTACATAATAAATGTGAACATGTTCCCATTACAGAGAACACAAGGTGATTAGTGATCCAATCTGCACTGTGCTTCCTGTGGCAGGAGGCACTGAAATGCCACCTGTCCCTGGGCTGTGTGGCATTTCGCCAGGAGCTCAAGGGCCACCCCCCAATGTGTATACAAGGGAACAGGCTGCAGCTGCCCTCTTCAGTAGTAGGGAGATGTGGCCTTTGGAAGCTAGGGACCTCCAGGCAATGTGGCTTGACTGCATGGGTCAGGATGGAGCACTGCATGCTGGGAGCTGTAGTCTCCATTTGGCTGCATCCACTACAAGAGTGTTGGGGGTCAAGCAGTTGGGGTTGGTACTGCCCAGCGGGAGGGAGTACAGTGCAGCTGGGTGCCCCACGTGTCCATGGGCTGCCAGTCGTAGCTTGTCCGTCTGCTCCTCTTGGAGTTGTGACCTAGTGCCAGGTGAGCTAATGACTTCATGGTGCTCCCTGTGATGCCCCCGCGTTCCACCCAGGGCTCCTCAGGGGCTAGGATAGACATCAGTCCCCTATGTGCCAATCTGCCATTCTCTTACTGGGGCTTGGCTTCGGCCCAGCTGTTAGTGACGCTGCAGAGAGACGCCTGCCCCTGTGCTCTCACTACCAGCCACCAACCCCGGGGCTGTGAACGGGCCCCCGCTTGCCTGCCTGCCTCCTGTGGTGCTGCCACGTCCCAGGCTTTGTCAACGTCAGAGAAGCCTTGGCCTGCAGTGTTGCTCTGTTGGCTTCAGTGCCCCATGTGCACACACACGAAGGGACTCATTAGTTTGATGGGATGGAGCCTGGATCAACTGAGTGCCATCAAGAACGGGGCCAGGCTGCAGCAGTGATGCAGAGAGCTCCCTCGCCATCCAGCTAGTTAGCTCCCCCTCTGCCACCTTCAACTCCTGGAAACCCTGCCTGGAAGCCCTCATTGTAGATTAAGGTCCAGCAGGGCCTCCCCCAAGCGTCTTAGTTGCTCTTTATGTCTCAGGTACATCACAGCATAGCAGCAGTTTTGTAGAACCCCTTTTCTGCCCCCTGGCTCAGCCTTTGTACTACTTGCTTTCTTCCCAGAGCTATCCAGCTGGTGAGCTAATTACCTCCTCAGCTTCCCAGGCTTCCTGCAGGTGCAAGTGGTCCATTCTGCTCTTCCAAACCCATACTACCTAACTCCCTCCTACGCTAACTCCACCTGGGTCTTGTAAGGGGCCAGGGTGCTGGCTTCCAAAGGGCTCGGTTTATAGCTGCTAACCCCCAAGAGTGGATCAGGGGTCTGTTCCCCCGGTACAGATGGGGAAGCTACATGCGCCCACTCACACAGCAAATCTCTGGCAGAGCCAGGAATAGAACCCAGGAGTCCTGGCTCCCAGTCTTTGTAACCAGTGGCCGCACTCGTTCCCTTCCAACTGCACATGGGGCCTGTTCCCATGAGAGCAGGTGGAGTTGGTGGGTGCCAGCCCACAATGGTGCTGGCAGGTGTCATAGATGCTAAGGCCAGACAGGACCATGATGACCATGTCATCTGAACTCCTGCAAAGCATGGCCCATGAGACTTCCCAGAATTCATTCCTGTTTGAGCCAGAGCAGAGCTTTTAGCAAAACATCCCATCTTGAGTCTGACATGGCTAGTGATTGAGAATCCCTCACTACCTTGGTTCCAACAGTTGCAGTTCAGCTTCCAGCCACTGGGTCTAATTAGACCTTTGTCTGCTGCACTGAAGAGCCTTCACTTGTCAGATTTCTGTTCCCCATGTCACCTCTTACGCGCCTCTGTCAAGCTGAACAGACGGAGCTCCCTGCCCCTCCTTCCCGTCTCTCTCTCGCAGGTGGTTCGGGAAGTGCTGGTACATCCATGACCTGCTCAAGTACGAGTTTGCCCTCGAGTTCGACGTGAGTGTCCCTGGGGCAGGGGCATCTGAGGGAAGAGGGCCCCCCTGCCCTGCTCCGAGGCTGGGGAAGGGAGGGGTTTCTCGTCCACTCCCTGCGGCACCAGAGGGAGCAGGTGGGAGCTGGCCCTGGCTAGGTTCACAGCATCACTGTCCCCCTGGGCCACAGGCACCAGGGGCTGAGGAAGAGAACACACCAAGGATGCTAACCGGGAAGGGGCAGAGAATCGCCCACCACGCAGGGCGAGAGCGAGCAGGAAGTGCTATGGGACTTGGCTAGTGCAGCCCAGCCCCTGAGCGAGCCGGGAGCTGAGAGCAGGGAGCCCTTTACACAGAGCTTTGCAATGGGATTGTGTCAGGGAACTTTGTGTAATGTGGGGCTAGCAAAGGGCTCTGCCTCAATGGGGCCCTGCCCCATCCTGCCCCTCCCAAACTAGGACATCCCCCTCCTGCCTACCCACGAGCTTCCACTTCAGCATCTGGAATGCAAACTCACTGGGGAGCTCACAAGGGGCCTAGGCTCAGTGCTCCCAGCTGTGGCTGAGCAGAGAGAGCAGCAGCTGGGAACTCAGGGTACGCATACTGCTCCCTGTTCACAGGGGCGGGGGGGACGGGTGGAGGGGGCTGGCGTGACCATGGGCACACTGAACGGGTTTTTGTGTTTGCAGATTCCTGTCACATACCCATCCACCGCCCCTGAAATCGCCATTCCAGAGCTGGATGGGAAAACCGCCAAGATGTACAGGTCAGGCAGCCCTGCCCACTTCCACCTCCACTTTCTGCAGGCCCTAGGGACCAGAGCTTCTAGCTCAGATCCTAGGCTTTGGTTGGGTCTGTCTTTATATCGCTTCTTCCATCTCACTGATGTGTATAGGCTATGGGAGGAGTCTCAGCTGTTGGTAAATGCAGCTGCCTCTGGGGTGGAACATGGCAGCTGTTGCTCAAAGCACAGGAAAGCAGCCCCTTGATGCAGGACAGGAAGTGGAGGAGATGCCATGTCTGAGTGGAACCCCGGGCGTCCTGGTGAGGCAGAGGAAGCTTCCCTGTGTTGGGATGGGGCCAGGCTTATGGGAGCTGCAGCTCCGTTCTGGGGTTGAGTGGGCTTGACACCCCTATGGCAGTGTCTCCTGTGGTCCCACGATGCCAGGCTCTGGGCTCTGTCTCCCCTCGGCATCTCCCGTGGTCCCACGGGGCCAGGCTCTGTCGCCCCTGCGCATCTCCCGTGGTCCCACGGGGCCAGGCTCTGTCTCCCCTCCGCGTCTCCCGTGGTCCCACGGGGCCAGGCTCTGTCTCCCCTCCGCGTCTCCCGTGGTCCCACGGGGCCAGGCTCTGTCTCCCCTCCACGTATCCCGTGGTCCCACGGGGCCAGGCTCTGTCTCCCCTCCGCGTCTCCCGTGGTCCCACGGGGCCAGGCTCTGTCTCCCCTCCGCGTCTCCTGTGGTCCCACGAGGCCAGGCTCTGACTCCCTTCAGTGCCTCCCGTGGCCGGGGCTTCTCCCTCACATCTCTTTTGTCTCTTGCAGGGGAGGGAAGATCTGCCTGACTGACCACTTCAAGCCCCTGTGGGCCAGGAACGTGCCCAAGTTTGGGCTGGCCCATCTCATGGCCCTGGGGGTGCGTTTCCGTCAGTGGGGGGGATGGGGGGAGTCTGTGTCTGAGCTACACTCACGTCCCCCTGTGCTCTTTGCCTTGCAGCTGGGCCCATGGCTGGCAGTGGAGATCCCGGACCTGATTGCCAAGGGGCTCATCGAGCACAAGGAGAAGTGAGGGGTCCAGGCTGGTGGAGGCCTGCATGGCGGCTCCAGATGCTTCGGCGCTCAGACCTTGTCCTTCCATGCAGACACAGCAGCCAGCTGGCCCCGCGGCCCTGCCTTCAGTGCAGGGCACTGCACCTACTGTGCTGGGGACTCACGATTCCTGTCTGCTCCCATTCCATGTAACCCCTGCCCAGTTCCTGTAAGGGGGAGCTGCCCAATCTCCCCCCAAACATCCCCCAATAAAAACTGTAGCCTGACTAAGGCCTGCCTGGCTGCTGCCACGCCTGGGGGCTCTTGCCAGGGGTTTGCATCCTGCTGAGGTAGCGTGCTTTAGCCAGCTCCACTGAGTCCCTGCTGCTGCTGCACCAGCTGCAACATCCTGATGCTTCCTGGTCCCTCCTGCTTAAAGAGATGGCTTGTAACTGAACCGGTTTCCAATTCACCATACTGGTGAGTGGAGGGCTGTGCTAGCCAGGCCTGCAGTGCCGCCCCCAGCAATGCATAGCCCAACTGGCCCCTGCGTGTGAGACTCCGTCCAGTTCTTCTTCCTAACTCGGCCCCCCTGGGTGTACGAGCTCCCCTCCCTGGCTGTGCCACCCTGGGCCTCTCCTATGCAAGGGTGGGAGCCCCCAGTAACTTCATCAGGAGGCTACTGGGCATCAGTTGCCACATGAAGGCAGCTTCTGCACCGATCTGCGGGGGGGATGGGGGACGTGCCCCTAAGTGGGAGGAGACAGCCTGTGACCCAGACCATGGAATCCAGAGCAGGCCGTTTGCTCCCCCTCCCCTTGCGGTTGCCTGGTCGTGTGGAGCATTGTTCAGTGACAGCTTGTATGGGCAGCGGCATCAACAGGATGAGAATTCTGGCCGCTTGCTGCTGCAATATGACTCCCAGCACTGGGCACCCCCCCAGCAGAGACCTGGCCAGAACTCCCTCGCTTCATAACATGTCACTGGGCCACCTAGCTTTTACCTGCACAGAATCGCACAAGGTGGTGTCAGCTGGGGGCTAGATCAATGGTTTGTGCAGCACCTAGCATGGGGATTAGGGGAGGGAGCAGTCCATGGCTGAGGGGCCTAGGTGCTACCGTAATACACCTAATAAATAACATGTAGCACCTGGCACAGTGAGGCCCTGGTCCATGCCTGGGGTTCCTCAGTGCTACCGTAATACACCTGCATACACACATAAGAACAGCCGTACTGGGTCAGCCCAATGGTCCATCTAGCCCAGTATCCTGTCTTCTGACTGTGGCCAGTGCTAGATGCTTCTGAGGGAACAAACAGATCAAGACAATTTCAAGTGACCATCTCCTGTCGTCCAGTGCCAGCTTCTGACAGTTGGCGGTTTAGGGGCACCTGGAGCACGGAGTTGCATCTCTGATCATGGCTAATAGCCATTGAATGATCTATCCTCTATGAACCGATCTAATTCTCTTTTGAACCCAGTTATGCTGTTGGCCTTCACAACATCCCATAGCAAGGAGTTCCACAGGTTGACTCTGTGTTGTGTGAAGAAGTACTTCTTTTTGTTTGTTTTAAACCTGCCTGTTAATTTCATTGGGTGTTATTAGAATAGGGTAAGTAACACTTTGTATTCAATTTTGCCACCCCAGGCATGATTTTATAGACCTCCATCGTATCCTCCTTCAGTCATCTTTCTTCCAAACTGAACACTCTCAGTCTTTTTAATCTCTCCTCCTGTGGAAGCTGTTCCATCCCCGAATCATTTTTGTTGCGTTTCTCTGTACTTTTTCAGGTGATCAGAACTGCGCGCAGTATTCCAGGTGTGGGCGTACCATGGATTTATATAGAGGCAACATGATCTTTTCTGTCTTCTTATCTATCCCTTTCTTAATGATGCCCAGCATTCAGTTCGCTTTTCTGACTGCTGCTGCACATCAAGCAGATGTTTTCAGAGAACTGTCCACAGTGACTCCAGGATTGTTCTTGAGTGCTAACTTCTAATTTAGACCCTATCATTTTATATGTATAATTGCAGTGGTTCTCCAACTTTTTTACTGGTGACCCTTTTCAAGTAGTAAGCCTCTGGATGTGACCCCCCTTATCAATTAAAAACACTTTTTCTATGTTTAACACCATTATAAATGCTGGATGCAAAGCGGGGTTTGGGGTGGAGGCTGACAGCTCGTGACCCCCTGTGTAATAACCCTGAGGGATCCCGACCCCCAGTTTGAGAACCCCTATATATTATTGGAATTAGTTTTTCCAATGCACATTACTTTGAATTTATCAACATTGAATTTCAGCTGCCATTTGGTTGCCCAGTCGCCCGGTTCTGTGAGATCCCTTTGTAGGTCTTGGCAGTCGGCTTTAGACTTAATTCTCTTGAGTCATTTTGTGTTGTCTGCAAATGTTGCCACCTCCCAGTTTACCTCTTTTTCTGGGTCATTAATGAATATGTTGAACAGCCCTGGTCCCCATGCAGATCCTTGGGGAACCCCGGTATTCACCTCTCTTCATTGTGAAAACTGACCATTTATTCCTACCCTTTGTTTCCTGTCTTTTAACCAGTTACTGATCCATGGGAGGACCTTCCCTCTTATCCCATGACTGCTTACTTTGCGTAAGAGCCTTTGGTGGGGGAACTTGTCAAAGGCTTCCTCAAAATCCAAGTATACTGTATCCCCTGGATCATCCTTGTCTCCCTGCTCATCGACACCCTCAAAGCATTCTAACACTGTAGATTGGTGAGGTACGATTGCCTTTTACAAAAGCCATGTTGACTCTTCCTCTGCTTGACTCAGATTGTGTTCATGTGTGTGTCTGATAATTCTGTTCTTTCTGTAGTTTCTACCAGTTTGCCTGGTACTGAAGTTAGGCTTGTAGGCAGTGGTGAGCTGGAGCCGGTTCGCACCAGTTCGCCTGAACCAGTTGTTAAATTTTGAAGCAGTTTTAGAACCGGTTGTTAACCCGCTTCCCTGCAGGGGGCGCTGAGGCGTTGATGGGCTCCGGCCGGGAAGTGATGTAATTCCTCCTCCGGCCGCCGGGGGCGCTGCACTGCGGGAGCCATGTGGGCTACCGCCGGGTCCTAGGCACAAGCCCTGTTGCTGCTGCTCCCCCGATCCCTGGCCCTGGGGCTCCCGATGCTGCTTGGTTGGTCCCCGGCTGCTCTGCTGGGCCTGGGCTGTGTCCTGCTGCTCGGGCTGCTCCGAGCCACTCCCCCAGTGAGCACCCACCACCCTGCCTGCAGCCAGCCCCTGCCGCACCCTCTGCCCTGCCCGCAGCCAGCCCCTGCCTGCACCCAGCCCTTGCCGCACCCCCTGCCCTGCCCGCAGCCAATCCCACACCCCTTGCCTGCAGCCACCCCCTGCCTGCACCAGCACCCCCCCCCTGCCCTGCCCGCAGCCAGCCCATCCCACCCACCCCCTGCCACCACCCCTGCCTCCAGCCACCCCCACACCCCATGCCTGCAGCCAGCCCCTGCCTCCAGACACAGAAAATACGGACGTATGGTAACCCTACTGGTAAAAAAAATACATACTGGGGCACAGCCCTTAAACCAGAACTTTGTATAGGGAACCGGTTGTTAAGATTTTGGCAGCTCATCACTGCTTATAGGCTTGTGATTCCCATCTGGTCCTGGTGACTGTTTAATTTATCTACCTAACAAATAACAATACACAGTGCCTGGCATGGGCTGAGGCTCCTAGGAGTCACTGTAATACCCCTAATAATCCTGGCTGCTAGCCAAGGCTGCAGAGCAGACTCATTTTATCTCTCTCTCTAAGTGGTCTTGGAGCCACTGGATGGGACAGAGCACCTCACCCAGGGGGTGTGTGGGTTACGGTAGCACCACACCGCCTGAGCTGCCATACCAGCACAAATGCTGTGTGCGGAGCAGGCCGTCGGCTGCTTTGCAAACATCCATAATACCTCTAGCCTCTGTCGAAAGGAGGCCAATGGACGAGACAAGAAACTGAGCGAGAGAGGGGGATGATGACATCTTTGGAGTGATGATGTCACTGGATGTGATGTCACCAGACACAATGACATCCCGACTGCGATGTTACAACCTCACCCTTTCCCTCCTGGGGCCTGACCTAACCTTTGTGCCCCGAGTGGGTGGCTCACCTTGCCTAGGGAGAGAGGTGATTACAGTCAGAGTGAGGCCCAGGACTGCAAAACCAATGGCTGGTAAGTAGCACCAGCGCTGAGGAGGGTAAAGAAACACGGGGGGAAGGGTGAGAAAATTAAAATAGAGAGAGAGAGAGAAATGTGTTTTAAATGATGTGCAAAGAAACATATTATGGGGAGAAATGCCTGTTTGTAAACGGTAACAAATCTCTCCAGTGTACGTTCCCTCATGAATAACTGGAGACGGGCCTGATCCAATCCTCTTGCTCTGAGGTCCTCTAGGGCAGTGGTCTCCAAAGTGGGATGCGCGCAAGACCATCCATGGGGGTGTGCGGCAGGAGGAGTGCTGCCAGTACGGCGGCAGCAGCGCTCCTGGACCTTTCATTCTTCGGCGGCAGGTCAGCTTTCCCCGCTCTGTCTTTGGCGGCACGCCGGCAGCCGCTCGGCTCTCCCCGCTCCGTCTTCGGCCGCTCGGCTCTCCCCGCTCCGTCTTCGGCCGCTCGGCTCTCCCCGCTCCGTCTTTGGCGGCACGCCGGCGGCCGCTCAGCTCTCTCCGCTCCGTCTTCGGTGGCACGCTGGCTGCCGCACAGCTCTCCCCGCTCCGTCTTCGGTGGCACGCTCCCCGCTCCGTCCGCGCAGCTCTCCCCGCTCCGTCTTCGGCC